TGCCCTTGTACTGTTCACCATGTAAGAACTTATTCACTATGTAAGAATTCGTTCACTATGTAAGGACTTGTTCGTTATGCTTCAGAAGATTGGAGACTGACGAGAACTAGGCTTGAGATGGATTAATGATAGTGCATTGAGCATTGACCCCCATATACAGAATTTTATTGTTGTTAACAACCATTTGATCAATAAATATGAGAGATGCCCTTTCAAAACAAAAAACAAAAACAAAAAAACAGGGTGATGAATATCTGGGAATATGGGGGAATGGTAAATGAACACATGTAGAGAGAAAATCAAAATATGCATGTGATAATATTTCAGATCCATCAGTATAAGACATAAAAAGAAGTATAGATTATATTTTGCTAAAAAGTCAAGAGGAAATAGAGTAAATCCCAGATGGTCAGTGACAGGGTTGGGATTAGAAAGAGAGACTATTACTAACCAGAGAAAACAGAACCATTCAAGAGAGGCTGCTTGAAGCATTTGTAAAATTTTCCTAAAAATATAAAGAATACATATTCAGTACATAGAAAAGGAAAATCAAAAAGGGAGAGAGAGGGACTAAATAATTGAGATACAAAGGAATGCATAAGTCTAGTAAAAAACAAAATGTATTATGGTCCTTACTAGCTGCATGAGTGTGGTCAGCTCATTTTATGAGCCTTGGTTTTCTCACATAAAATATGAGAGCTAGCTTATATTATGCATATAAGTACATATAAGATGTGAGCAGCAGTATGGTTAAATGCTTGAGCTCTTTAAACAGACTAGGTTCAAATTTAACCCCTATTCTTAATGGCTTTGTGACCTCTTGTTGATTACTTAATATGTTTGATACTTGGCTTTCTCAACTACAAAAATGTGGATAAATAATAACAGGGTCCTCAACTGATCGCTATGAGGATTGATTTATACAATCCAAGTAAAGTGTCTGAAACAGTGACCAATCAATGTTAGCTGTAACTGTAGAAAGGTACAGGAACACCAAAAGGAAAGAAGTCATGAGACTTGATGAGAGTTGATATGGACTCTTTGGATAAATGAAAAGTTAAAAAAAAAAAAGATGGCAACCAATAGTTGAAAGAGGTTAAACTCTCATTTTTAACAGTGATAATGAAGAGGGGAATTGTGCTTCTCTTACTCCTAGAACTTGAATGTTTCAGGTGAAGTGTAGGCTAAAAGTGCAATAGCTCTGGTGTGCTGGTTGATGCTCAGAGGTTAGGAAATGAATACATCAAAGCCCAATGGAGCCAGGGAAGTACAAGTAGAGAAGTGACCTGTGGCAAACGTCTTATAAGGATATGTCATTATTCCACACCTGCAAAATCCAAATTTTAAAGGCATAGTATTCTGTCTCTCTATTTTAACTTATTTTCTAATGAATCTTTTATTAACAGAGAGATTATTTTAGAAGACTACATGAACAGTATTTTCCACTAATATCTTACTGATAATTTGTACTAAATTCTCTAATTTAATGCTAATTTAATTTCCTGTCCCATTTTTTCACCTCCCCCTTCTCTTTCACTTACACAGATACACAGGCACCACTACATAAAACAGCTCTATAGTTAACAATATTTAAGAAAAATACCTTTTCCTATGTCATGTTAAGATATAATTGTTTTCTTGTCCTTAAAGGAATAAAAGAGCATTAAAAATAAAATTAACTCTTAATTAGGTCTAAGTCTTTTCTTTGGATTATTACAAAGTACTATACACTAAAACTATAATAAAACGCACATTTATTTCCTAAAAAATGATGGAATCCATGTAAAGCAAATTACTAATATCTTTCTGTGATATAACTACCTTGTTTTTAATTATCTTAATAATAAATACAAAAGTAAATTAATTTCTTAACCTGATGTTACAGTATCTTCAGGCCTCTCTTCAAATTGGTTTTCAGGTACCTTACTGGTATTACTTCCCTAGAAGCAAAAAAAAAAAAAAAAAAAAGATAACTTTCTTTCTCCAAATATGTAAAAAAAAAAAAAAAAGTGTGTATATATAGCAAATGTTTAAAGAGCTAAAACATTTCCTTCTGCCTTCATAATTTATTTTAATACACTTTTTAAAATTGACAAGAAGGGTATGAGTTTTTGAGAAAAGCAATCCAAACAGCACTATTTTAGAGAAATATATCCTGGGAGTTGATACTCAGGGAAAGGATATCCAAGAATGATAGGATATTTAAGTAATTAATGTATGAGAGAAAAAGATCACAAGATAAATGACACAATATTGTAACTTCAGGGGATATAAGAGGATACTGCCAGGAAACAGATACCTTTTCTTTGGGATACATTATGCCTATCAGTTTCAAAGTGATATGGATCTTTACAAAATTTCAAGAAGAATTATATGGTGGAGTGATCACTGGATCTTACAAAATATTCATCTTTCAATAAGAACCCAAAGTCCATAGTCCCTTTAATGAAGAGGCCCCAAAATTTTCACAAAATACTAATTCTGTATTAGGAAATGCTAATCAACTTATTTTATAGCAGCACAACTATGCCTAATCATAAAGTCACTGAATAATGTGAATATGTCAATATGTTATGACTACAATTTCTTTTTTTTTTAATATGAATACCATTTCCCTCCATTTCAAGGTTGTGATTCTTAGTCAACATTTATCTATCCACTGAAGTCCCTATGAATTCCTTCTTGCCAGGTCAAAATATACAGGTTAGATTATGAACTCAACAATAAAAATATAAATAACCCAATTTAAAAATCAGCAAAGGATTTGAAAAAAAAAAAAAGGATTTGAATAAAAAACAAAAGGATTTGAATAACCAAGGAAGATATACAAGTGGCCAGTGAGCATATGAAAAGATTCTCCTATCATTGGTCATTAGAGAAATGCAAATCAAAGCCACAACTAAATACCACTTTGAACCCACTAGGATGGGTATAATTTAAGAAAAGAAGGCAGTGGCAAAAATAAGAAGTGTTGGAAAAGATATACATTGCTGGTTGAATGTAAACTTGTGTAGCTCCTGTGAAAAACAGTTTGGCAGTTCCTGAAAAACTTAAAGAAGGAATTACTATCTAATCCAGCAATTCCATTCCTAGGTATATACCCAAGAGAATTAAAAATATATGTTCACACAAAAACCTGCACATGAATATTCATAGCAGCATTACTCATAAAAGCTAAAAAGTGGCAACAACCCATATGACCATCACCTAATAAATGGACAAACAAATGTGGTATATCCATACAATGGACTCTTTTTTGGAAGTAAGAAGAAATGAAGTAGTGATACATGCTACAACAGGGAAGAATCTTGAGAACACTATGCTAAGTGAAAGCAGCAAGTCACAAAGGAGCATATACTGTATGATTCTATTTATACAAAATGTCTAGAATAAGCAAATCTATGGAGAAAGTAGATTTGTTATTGCCTTTAGGTTATTACCCTTAGGGTTGGGGGTCATGAGAGGTTCGAAGGATATAGGATAGGCTAAGAGTGTGGGGTTTCTTTTGGGGATAATGAGAATGTTCTAAAATTGACTGTAGCAATGGATGCACAACTCTATGAATATACTAAAAGCCACCTGTATACTTTAAAAGGGTGAATTGTAAGGTATGTGTATTATATCTCAACAAAACTGTTAAAAAACTAAATTATAAATAACCAATCAATATTTATTGAAACTCATATAATCAAAATAGGAAATGCATGAATTATGACTGGCATTTTACATATTAAGAACAAATAAGCAATATCTGATCATCGGTTTTAATTATCATAATCTTTTTAAGATAAAAAGTATTAAAGGCTATTTATGAGAGTATGTATTGTTTATTACCTTAGGTTCCTTATGTTCCAATTGTGAGTTAAGAACTCCTTTTAAATAGTTAGATTTTTCCATCCATGTATTCAGATTTCTGTATTCTTTTTTCATTTTTTCCAATCTAAGGAAAGAAATCAGTTATAGATTTAAAAACCAAGTAACCGAAGAATATATATATCATGCTTCATGGAAGCATACCTACAGTATGATCCATTTATAAAAAGTTCTAAGAGAGAAAAGCCAACACGTACTGTTAAAGGATTCAGTCAAAGGAAAAGGAATGATTGCAACAAAAATCAGAGCAGTAGGTAACCTGGGAGGGCTGCAAGAGGGATGTAATCTCATAAGGGCATACAAAACATATTTCTAATATTAGTGATGTATTTCTTAACTTGAATCATAAATATCTAGACAGTAGTCTAGATATTTTCATCTCTATTACACATTTTAGAAAGTATTCAACATATTGGTCTCATTATTTAAACTACATATATTTTATAAATTATTCAACACATATATGATATCTTCTGTAATAAAACAAATCAGAATAGGAATTCAGCTTCTGATCCAAGAAATTTCAAAAGACTTTAATAATCTAAAGATGTAACTAACAAGAACTAAGTGGAAAAGAGAGGAGAATGTTTCCCAACTCATTTCATGAGGTTTGATAATAAATCCTAAAAAGGACATTACAAAAAGGAAAATTAGTCTATATGAATATAGATACAAATGTTACCAAAAAAATTTTAGTACAAGGAAGTCCAGTAGTATAGAGAAAAGATAACATCCCATGAACAAGTTGGGTTTATCCTAGGAATACAAAGATATTCTGACATGAACATTAGAAAATATAATCTAAACAAAACTTAACTGATTAAAAGAGAACAAAACATTTGGCAAAATCCAACATCCACTCATGATTAAAAAAAAAAACTCTTAGGAAATTAGGAACAGAATGGAATAATTCAGTTAACCTAGTACAGTATATCTACCAAAAAACCTGTATAAATAATGTTCTTGACTCTTAAATGCTAGAAAAATTGCCTTTAAAGATCATGAACAAAACAAAGATGTCCACCCTTGCCATTTATATAAGACATTGACTGCCACTTCTAGATAGCACAGTAATATAAGAAAACAAAATTAAAGGGTAAAGACTGGGAATAAAGAAACAAAATCATTATTTGTGAATGATATGATTGTTTAAATTCTCCCACATATTACAGATAAATTATTATAAATATGAAAACTCAGCAAAAGAGGGATATTTCTGAGAAGATAATAGCAGCAGGAGTAGCTTAGTTTTTAAATCTTCTCAAATCTCTCTATAAAAACATTCAGAATATCTAGGTAGCAAACCCAAAAACCTAGGGGCAACATTTACAACAAAATTATGTGACAAAGTATGCCTATGAACCCCAACACATATACATAAGACCTTCATGGTATTATTATACATATATGGGAGAAACCAATAGATATAAAAGGGGAACTGACCTGAGAGTAAGAGAGCCACAAAATAGCTAAGAGGTAGTCACAGGAAAGCATGGCATGTCAATTTGAGAACAGCAGTTGAAAGTGGGAGGGTTTTGCTCATTCCAATAGTAAGGACATAGTGTTCATGTTAACAACTAAGAAGACTGGAGGAGCCTAACAACTGTGAATGGTCAAAACTGACCAGCCAGGTCTCTACACCACAACAGGGCTCCAGGAAATCTTAAAGCTAGTCATTATGTTTTTTAACACCAAAAGAAAGCAACAGAAGTGGGAGCTCTATGAAGCTAGGAAAGCTTTCTAAATCAAGTCTCCTACAAACAATTCAGGAAAATTAATTTCACATAAAATAGAGCAACAGAGAACTATCAAGGCCAAATTCCAAAGTAATTTTAAGAAGAAAGAAAATAAGGAACAGAATAACATCCCTAAACCATGAGAACATGCAAGAAAGATAATGTGAGTCAGTGATTTGCAAGGATTTGCAAATCAAAAATTCGGGCAGAAAGGAAGTCTAAAGGCAATGAACCCATTAGTTAGTATTATTTTTCCTTCAAGAAATTTGTGGTGGCCAAGAGTTACAAAGCTAAGAATTGTGAGATAAATACACAAGGATTGGGGAACAAAACCAGAGTTCAGATCCTTCTGAAAATGAGAAATTATGGTAAATGGCTTTTTTGATGGGATCCTAAAGGGCTAGGCCACAAAAGTAAGGGCTGCCTTAATTAAAATGCCCTAGTTACCCTACTCTAGGGCCAGTCTTGATACTAGGAATAAGAGTAAACCAAAAAAAGACTAATCCTTACAGGAACTAAAGCCAAAAATCATTTCAATCACTTTAAATCATTTCAATCTCAATCTCAATTCAATTAAGGTGATGTGGGACTACTAGTCCCTAGACTGACTGGCTGCCACATGCAAATGTATATTTTCTCTATAAGAATATACAATAAAGAACTCCAAATTAGTTCTATAGATTTTTAAATACAATGTTTGGCACTCAGTAAAAAAAACAAAGGAAAATATAAGATTTGACTTAAAACTATGAGAAAAAAATAGAAACAGTGTTACAAGAGATAAAGAAAATGGAGTTATCAGAGATAAACTTTAAAATAGTAATGATTAATATGTTCAAAGAATTAAAAGACTGGACCAGGTATTTTGGCAGAAAAAAAAATGGAAACTATAAAATCAATAATTTCATAACTGGGAGGGAAATAACTGAAATGAAGAATTCAATTGGTTTAACAGCAGAGTAGAAACAAAGAAGAAAGAAGCAGTGAACTATAAGATAGGTCAGAAGAAAACAGCTAAACTGAGGCATAGATAAAAAGGAAAAGAAAGGAAATACAGAAAAAGAGCAAAAGAGACCTATAGAATACATTGTCAAAGAGGCAGAGCAACTATTACATTTTCTCCCTTATATAAATGAGTTCTCACCTCTTACCATAGCATTGACTTTTTAAACAAATTCCTTAATATAAGCAAAACTCTGGAATAACCTCTGAACCCATGAAATATCAACACAATGAAGGTTCCTGGGCCAACAGCAAGCCCATGTCTCAAAGGAAAAATTTAATACACAAGTAACACATAAATAAGATGAAATTTTTTTTTGTTTTGTTTTTTTGTTTTTTACCTTTCCCGAGGTTGTTGATGAAGTTTTTCAAGTCGCACTGCAAATGGCTGTTTGGACTGAGACATTGTAGCTGGCATCCCAACACTAACATTCAGGTCTGGGGATAAGAATGCTGGATATTCTATTGGCTGTGGTATAATAACATTTCTGCAAAATGGTAGTAAAATTAAATACTGAAATTATATGAAAATACACTTCTAAAATCAGTCATAGCTATCACTTTTGAATCATTCTCTCTTTTATCCTGTGAGTTCACCTATCCATCATGGACCATCAGAGGCAAAAGCTAGGAAAGATGACAAATGTCAGAAACCTTGATATAGGTGCTCTCTTGAATACTTATATCAAGTCCTACTGCTAAGATCATGGGCAATAGGGATGGGAAAAGAGGACCTGAAGTTCTAAAGAAATGTAGAAAGTGTTTGAGCCCAGACCTCCCTCCCAATCTCTAGACCCAAATCTCTATTTCATGGCCCATTCAAGTTAACACATAAAATTAAACATCACAAGTCCACCCCTTGTCAACTTGGCAACCATAAGCATCTCCTTAAAACACACTTTATCCCCAAATGAAAACAGTAACAAGATCACAATTCTGCCCAAATGAATACAACTACCATGGATACAACAAAAACTCACTCGCCTCTTTCCCAAAAGAGAAGGTAAAGTCCTTGGGTGATGTTTAATTTTCTTGATATCCTGAAACTTATCATTTACTTAAATATTATAAAATCAATGCATCATAATAAGAAGATAAGAATGAGGAGGAAATAATTATATATATATATATATAGTAAATAATATATATTTTTTTTCAGGTTAATCAGTAAATGTACCACAATAGTACACCTAAATGGGGAATACGCTGCCTCCAAAATCCAAAGAGGCCCATTAGGTGTTGTCCCTCTTTTTTGATTATAGGACGGGACAGATGTAACAACTTGTCCTTCACCTAAGCAGGACTATCTTCACAAGTCCCACACCACTGGATTCCTAAAAATTCACTGACGTAGAAGGCCCCTGAATTTTTGGTCATACTTATTTTCCACACTCTGACATGCAAATGTCTTACTAGTAAATCTTTAATAGTTGCTACTCCTTGCTTACTACATCCAATCAGCATGTTATCACTGTAATGGACCAGTGTGATATCTTGTGTGAGGGAAAGGCATCAAGATTTCTGTGACCTGAATTAAGACACAGGGCCAGAGGTGATATACCTTTGAGTGGGACAGTGAAGGTGTATTGCTGGCCTTGCCAGCTGAAAGCAAACTGCTTCTGGTGGTCTTTGTTAACAAGTATGCAGAAAGAAGCATTTGCCAGATCTAGAGCTGCATACCAGGTACCAGGGAACGTATTAATTTGCTCAAGCAATGAAACCATACCTGGTACAGCAGCTGCAATTAGTCACCACCTGGTTAAGCTTATAATAACCCACTGTCTTCTGCAGGGTCTGGTTTTTGCACAAATGAGTGAACTGGATGCATATATGTTGGGAATCACAACCCTTGCATCTTCCAAGTACTCGATGATGGCAAACCCTAATTCTAATTTCTGCAAATCCTCCAGGAATGTGATATTGCTTTTGATTACTTTTTTTGTGGATAGAGATAGCTCTGGTGGTTTACATTTGGCCTTTCCCACCATATCATCCCTCAGTCCACAAGTCAGGGACCAATGTAGGGATTCACCAACAGCTAAGTATGTCTTCTATTTATACATTCCAATTATGCATGCTGGAACTAGGGAAATAACCACAGAATGAGTTCAGGGACCCACTGAGCCTACTTTGAGATGGATAAGAGTTAATATTTCATTGATCACCTGACCTCCATAAGCCCCTACTCTGGTGGACCACAGTGATGTTTTGGGTCTTCTGGAATTAGTGTCAGTTCAGAGACAGTGTCCAGTAGCCTCTGACAGTCTGATTATTTCCTCTTAATGCACCGTTACTCTGGTAAAAGGCTGTACGTAGTTCCCTTTGGGGAATTCTGGGAGAAAATTTTTAAGTTCCCCATAAATTTTTGGCAGGGTACCCCAGTTCCTCAAGGGATCCAGGACTCTCCATTATTCAAGTGGTCCTGAGTGTATAAACTGCCTCAAATCTGGGAATTGATAGAGAATCCATGACTCTCTACTTTTATGACTCAGGTTACAGACTTTTATTTACCTGACCTAGAACTTTTCTGTACAGATCAGTAAGAATTGAGTAGGCTTCCTGGGTATTTTATTTCTAGAAACATCATGATCAATTCACTAATGACAAAGGTCTGCACAAGTCAGACTATTCTTATTGCTGCTGTGACTGTCCATTACAGTACATACCCATCTTGCCTTTGGAGGCTGAATGCCATCACTTGGCCCCTGCCATTTCAGTATCTAAATTACTCCCATGCATTTCGATTTCCCAGTTCAGTGACTTCAGTTTCCACTGAAAGGTCTGGCCTAAAGAGAAGAGCTATCACAGAGCTCAAGGATGGGGCTTTCCTAGTCTCCCAGGGTAGGTGAGTAGGTCTTAAATGAATCCACTCCAACATTACGATCTCCCTAACCTTTTGGATCCACTCATCTACATTAAACCAAGGCAGGCCTAGCATTTCCAATCCACTCACAGTAGGCCACCTTTTGGTCCATGTTTCAGCAACCAATCAACCAAACTGCTAGAGTCCTAACTCCTCAAGTTGCAATATTAAATGCAGATTCTCTCCTTAGTGAGCCCTTATCAACAAATTTGATGTGATCCACATGTTATGTTCCTTCCACCATTATCCCACACCCTTAATATCCATTCTACATCATGTTTCCTGGATTTCTGTCTGTATAAATTAGAAAACCCAGTAGCTGTTTTTGCAGTGCAGTGCACCTCCTCACAAGGTCACACTTTGTACCTTACCTTTAGGATCTTGCTAGGACTTGAGTCTAGTAATAAGCCTGGAAGCAAATTGGTGGAGGGGTGAGGCCTAAGGAGAATCAGCATTGTCTTACATAGCAACTGCCTCAGAGGAGGCCATTATTGCTTCTCAGGCAATGCAGGGTTAATTCCCTCAGATGGAGATGAAAAGGCCACTACCACTAGGAGTGGTGATGTCACTTTCACTCGGGATGGAGGGGCCTCTTCCACTGGAGGTTGAGAGGGTCTTCCATCAGAATAAGATACATCAGAATTTAGGGGCTCAATGTTCCCAGCTTTATCAGGGTCTTCCCCCATATTCCCATTCCAATTTTCAAGACTCCATTTATTCCTAAGCTTAGCCCTCACTTTAACAGTAGACACCCTGAGGCTGGGAGTTCAACTTTCACTGTAATTCAGCAAGTTGTAAGGTGAAATTCTGGTTTGATTTTCTGCATTCTTAGTCCTGTGGCTACAGGAGATAAGGGTCTCCTGCAGCACACATAGATTATTTAACATCATTTATGCAATGTTTGATCTGGGAATTTGAAACCTTAGCATAGCCTTTTCTTTTTTGACTTTGTCCAGCAACATCAGGAGCACCTAGCCAATCTCATTATGAGTTTGACAAAAATTCTGAAAGTACCACATACACAGCTGTGTAGATCTTTGCTTCTTATATACAGTTAGAGGAGTATCCAATGGTGATATTTTGCATATCTCTACTGCCAGATCATGCCGTGGGCTATCAGAGCTCTCTTTACTATTGGGATGACTAGTGAGTCATTAAATCTAGAATAGAAAGCCAATTCCTGAAACCCGGGAAGCAATTCAGAAAACTCATCCTTAATACTCTGTTGCTCTATATCCACTCTCAGTATCAAAATTTTTATTAGAGTTGTCCAGACACAGAATAAGATGTATACAGATATAGGTGTGTGTGAGAGAGGCTGAGAGATATTGTAAGGAATTGGCTTATGCAATTATGAGGTCTGACAAGTTCCAAAATTTGCAGGATGAGCTGGTGAGTTGGAGACCCAGGAAATCCAATGGTGTAGTTCCAGTCTGAAGATCTGCAGACTCAAGATCCATGAACGGTCCATGTCTCCATTTAAGTTTGAAGGCAGGAAAAAGCCAGTTTTCCAGTTCAAAGGCAGTCAGGTAGAAGAAATTCTCTTCCTCAGGGAAGAGTCAGGCTTTTTTTCTATTGTGTCCTTCATCTGTTTGGATGAAGCCCACATGCATTAGAGAGGGCAATCTGCTCTACTCAGGCTACCTGCTTAAATGTTAATTTTTTTTAACATGTATGCATGCAGAGATTTTGTATTTTTTTTTGGTATCATTAATCTACAATTACATGAAGAACATTATGTTTACTAGGCTCCCCCCTTCACCAAGTCCCCCCCACATACCCCTTCACAGTCACTGTCCATCAGCGTAGTAAGATGCTGTAAAATCACTACTTGTCTTCTGTGTTGTAGAGCCCGCTCCGTACCCCGCACCACATTATACATACTAATTGTAATGCCCCCTTTCTTTTTCCATGCCCTTATCCCTCCCTTTCCACCCATCCTCCCCAATCCCTTTCCCTTTGGTAACTGTTAGTCCATTCATGGGTTCTGTGATTCTGCTGCTGTTCTGTTTCTTCAGTTTTTCTTTGTTCTTATACTCCACATATGAGTGAAATCATTTGGTACTTGTCTTTCTCTGCCTGGCTTATTTCACTGAGCATAATACCCTCTAGCTCTATCCAGGTTGTTGCAAATGGTAGGATTTGTTTTCTTCTTATGGCTGAATAATATTCCATTGTGTATATGTACCACATCTTCTTTATCCATTCATCTTCTGATGGACACTTAGGTTGCTTTCATTCCTTGGCTATTGTAAATAGTGCTACGATAAACATAGGGATGCATCTGTTTTTTTTCAAACTGGGCTGCTGCATTCTTAAGGTAAATTCCTAGAAGTGGAATTCCTGGGTCAAATGGTATTTCTATTTTAAGCACTTTGTGGAACCTCCATACTGCTTTCCACAATGGTTGTTGAAGTAATTTACATTCCCACCAGCAGTGTAGGAGGGTTTCCCTTTCTCTACAACCTCGCCAAAATTTGTTGTTGTTTGTCTTTTGGATAGTGGCAATCCTTACTGGTGTGAGGTGATACCTCATTGTGGTTTTAATTTGGATTTCTCTGATAACAAGCGATGTGGAGCATCTTTTCATGTGTCTGTTGGCCATCTGAATTTCATCTTTAGAGA